AAAAACTCTATTGTACCTGTTGCTGGGGTAGAGAGTCCTCTTTTTGCAGTTGGCATGCTAAGTTTTGATTGACAGATTGGTAGGGTGGTCGCTCTTCCTCGGGTGTGAGTAGTCACTTGAGCTCCCAAGATGGCAGCCTGAGAGAGCTGTTCCTAGCTACCTAACACTTGGGCCTTAGCACTATGCACTGTTTATAAAGGGTGCAGAACTGAGGCAAATGCTTTGGCTGGGTAAAGCCCTAGTGGTGATTCAACCTCCAGTCTATGGCTCTCAGAGGTGATACTCTGGCTCTAATTTTGTTGTATGTAGACTAATTTTTTTTTTTTATTTGATAGAAGGGAACTGCATAAGCATTTATTTAATTGAGGACGATGGGTAGAAAGATTCTAGTTTATCTAGGAGAACACCTGATGGAAAACTGCTTTGTTTACTTTTTTTCAGTAGGGAAGGATGCAGACCTAAGAAGGAGGAAATGCATTTACGCCTTGCCACCTACAGCACATTGCTGTTCCGTATTGGATTTTCCCACTCGTTCCGGCTGGTGCTTCCTGTCTTCCACTCCTTTTGTTGATTGTTGACTAGGTGCTGTGAGGTCTGCTCTTTAATGCACTTTGTCCTTTGTCCTTTTGCCACAGTGTGAAGCCATCTACTGTTATTTGCCTTTTGCTCTGGGCTACCTCTAAATAGCCGTATGTAAAAGAAAGAGGAAAAGTACATCTTTTCCATCAGCTTCACATACATCATTCAAGGACTGTATCGTTGATGTAACAAGAAAAGTAAATCCCTCGTTGAGTCATTACAGAGCCGAATGGAAACAGCATGCTCTGAAAAGACGTCATCTGGAAACCTGACACATAATTATTTTAATGTAAATACCATCTTTATATTTTAGAGTTTTGGTAAGCCTTTCAATTACTGGAACAAATTAACATGCCTCTTTCTTGCATCAAAAACATTCACTCTTTGGTTTATTTAAATGGCACTCGTTGTGGACAGTTTGTAGTAGAAAATCCGACTCTGAAAATATAAGTGGATAATACAAAGACAAAAACATATGCATTGTTTTGTGCCTTAAAATTATTGCTGATATTCAGGCTGAGTAGGTCCTGACTCTGTTTCTGAGTAAGGAAAGGCAATAAACTTTGACATGAAAATGAATGCTCTGTGCTGCTCTCCATTTTCAAAACCTAAGATTATTTCTTTTTGGATGAATATTCAACAACAGCTTTATCTTTTCAATTGGTGACACCACGTTAAATCACAATAGCTCTTAGAAACAAAACTGGTGCAAATGGCCTTTAGTTGACTCTACACACCGTCTTGATGTTTAAAAAGTTATAGATAGGGTAGTGCCTGTGGCTGAAAGGGGTAGGATGCTGGCTACGTATGCCAGAGGTGGCGGGTTCAAACCCAGCCCCAGCCAAAAACTAAAAAAAAAAAAAAAGTTATAGACATGGGCAACAGCGCAGTGCAATGGTGATGCTTATTTTATCTGTGGTTTGTTGTATGGTCAGGGCTGTTGCGTTCCCATAGTATCTTCATTTATTATGCTAATTGACTTTCCAAGTGCAAACAGAAGGGTGTCTGACCTGTGAAATATCCTCAGTTGGAGGGTTTTAAAAGCAAACTTGTTTTGTGCTTGAATAAAACCAAAAATCAATGTGGTTCTTTTCAAAGACAAGAGGGTCAATACCGTGGTTGTTTTTGTTCCCGTCCAGTTATGTAACCGTGGGGACTTGTTTCTTTGCTTTCGGGATTTGTCCGAAACACATTAAAGCTAAACAATAGGCGGGAGTCCCAGGAGCACCCTTAGATCTGTGTCTTGGAGTATGTGGCTCCCAGGTTTGGGAACCTCCAATTAGTTCAATCACAAGTGCTGCTGTGTGTGTGTCTGTGAGTGTGTGTTTAGTTAGCTGGCACGCAGCACTTCCCAGGGTTGTGTTTCCTTTTTCCTGAGATTTGGCGAAGGGTAAAGGGTCGGAGTCACATGGATACAAAGCATTTGATTAATGTCCAAGTCACCGCTGTGGCCGCCGGAGCCGCCTCCCCTCCAGCCCGGGCCGCGTGAGGCCGGAGCAGCGGGGCCGGGCCGGAGCTCCCGTCCCGGGAGTTTCCTCCGCAGAGCCCCGCGCCTCCCGCGCCTCCCGCGCCTCCCGCGCGGGGGTTCCAGCCCGAGACCCCTCCTCTCCCCCCGCCCCAGACTCTCCTCAGCATGTAAAGTCGCCTGTCCCTCCTCGGACTTTGCGGAGGCGGCAACTTTCTTTCCCGGCCGCCCGGGCAGCGCGCAGCACCGCCGGCCAGCGCCGCGTCCCGCCGCCCACCATGGGCGACGAGAGCCGCGGGGACGGCCGCGCCGAGAGCGCCAAGGACCTGGAGAAGCAGCTCCGCCTGCGCGTGTGCGTGCTCAGCGAGCTCCAGAAGACCGAGCGCGACTATGTGGGCACGCTGGAGTTCCTGGTGTCGGTGAGTGGGTCCCGGCGGCCGTGGGGGCGCGCCGCATTGTCTGCGCGGGAGCCGGGGAGCCGGGGAGCCGTCCCGGCATCTCGGGCACCTGAGTCCCCGCGCGGACGCGCTGCTCGCAGCGCGGCGACCGCGGGGGCATTTGCTGAAGCCCGGACACTCACCGGGTTGGCCGGGCCTTGGAGAGCTCCGGGTCTCCAGAGTTAGCTGGGAAGGGAGAAAGCGCCTGTGCCCGGAACCCCGGCTGCCACATTTCGCCTCACTTTTCTTTATCTCCCTCCCCGGTCGGCTTAATTGCGTTGTGTCATTTTGTCTAGTCTCTTTCTCCCCTAAAAATTTTATTTTAAAGCTTTGGCTTGAGGATTAAGGGTCCACTCTGCTACCTTCAGGTACATTTAGTTAAAAAACAAACAAAAACAACTTTGAATGTGGAGCTTGAGTTCATACTCAGACAACATGGCACTGAGGTCCCTTTGGTTATAATAATCTTTGAATTGTAGGATTCTGGTGGGGGGTACAGAAAAAGCGGCCGGGTTATGATCCCCAGCAGCTGGTGGATATTAAAGCCACATGCCGCGCTCGCCGGGTCCAGGTCCTACATGCTCCTCCCCCCGGGTTTAAATCTGCCCTCTGCTCAGCTCCTGGTCCCCTTTTCATACTGAGCCCTGAAAATGGTGTAATAACACTCGCATCTAGCAACTTGAGGATTTCGTGGAATTGGACAGGAACTTTCCGAGTTTCTGCTTGGCTCACTGGAGTCTGCTTGGAGAATGTTTTCATTCATTTGAGGGCAGGAGGGGCGGAACTGAATGAAAGTAACTTCTGAGACATCTCTCAAAAGCTGAGTTTTTCCTGTTCTCTGTTGAAAAGACAGAATTAGAGCGTTGGTTTCTTTCCACCCAGATCTCTGGGAACATCATTCAAAGTTTTTGCCATCTCACTCAAATTCTCTACCCTGCCAACACCAGTTCTATGCCCCTGGTCTGAAGGAAAATGTTTCAAATGCCAAAATTCCTGCTCAGTGTTCTGAGATCTGTACACTTTTCACCTTATCAGCATGATAGAGGAAATTTACTTCTTGGCTGTGGCAAGAAGGAAGGAGCATTGCTTCAAGTAATGCAAAGAGCACAGGTTGGCAAAATCAATATTCTTGAGCCCCCAGCGGCCACATGCTTTGGAAGTGTACAGATAATTGGAATATCCCGGTAACTGCTGATATAAGGAATCATTGTACACTTCTTTGCAGCAATGATTGTCAAAAAAGCATGCTTTTAAGATTCTACTTTTCATAGCTTTACGTTTGACTTTCTTCAAACTTTTATGGTAACAAAATCCTTTGACTTTTGAAGATGGACAGCTAACCTAATGTACCTTGAAATACCAATTCGCTGATCTGAATTTAAAATATCAGTTTTTCCTCTTCCTAACACCTGATTATTACAGTAGAAAACTCTAATAGAGTTAGGTAAGAAAGTATGACAGGAAGTATAAAATAAATTATGTTTACCTTCTTTACTTCTTTTGACTCTTTTTGTCTCATTCAAAAATTATGAGCTCTTCCACTTTTCTTTGTCCATTATTTGTGCTTGTATTTGTTTATACACACAATTGCACTAATTCACCTGAATAGCATCCTAAACAAAAGTTTGCCCTGGCTTCTTTTTGATCATTTAGCTATTCAGAGCCTAAGATTTACATATTTATAATACATTAGATTTTTCTATTGGGGGGTGTTATTTATAGTGACAATTCCTGTGTAGTTTTCTCAGTCACCTGACATTGATGTAGTCAATCTAGTTTTAAGATTAGACTATGCTGGTTCAGTGCCTGTAGCTCAGTGGTTATGTTGCTGGCCACATACACTGAGGTAGGTAGGTTCGAACCCCACCCGGGGGCCTGCTATACAACAATGACAACAGCAACCAAAAAATAGCTGGGCATTGTGGTGGGCGCCTATAGTCCCAGCTACTTGGGAGGCTGAGGCGAGAGAATCGCTTAAGCCCAAGAGTTTGAGGTTGCTGTGAGCTGTGACTCCATGGCACTGTACAGAGGGTGACATAGAGAGACTCTGTCTCAAAAGAAAAAAAAAAAGATTGTGCTAATATGTATCAAAAGCTTTGAAGATATTCAAACTATTTGGCCTGGTAATTCCTTTTCTAGGAACCTGTCCTAAGGAAATGATCAGAAATAGAGACAAATAAAAGTTTTTTGGTAACAAATATACCAACAAATCTTTTTAAAAAATACTATGGCTATTTTTTATAACAGAGTTGTTTTTTTTTTTTTTTTTTGGTAAATAACCATAGTATTAAAAAAAGTGAGTGATAGAGTTGTTGCAAAAAATTGATAGATTGTTCCTAAGTCAAATTTAAATATTAGTTAGATTTGTCATTAGTCATTTCTGTCACCACTTTAAGCCATTAACATGGATGAAGGATAACTCTTACCTTTTATTAGGAAGAGGAAGAAGTAGAAAATATATTTTTAGTTCTTCCAATATATTATTACTTCCAGGCTCCACAAATAAGCAAACGGGATGTTATTTCCTTTCATTAAAAGAACATATGACTGGAGGGGACATTTTTTTTTGAGACGGTCTCATTTTGTCGTCCTCAGTAGAGTGCTGTAGTGTCGTAGCTCACAGCAACCTGAAACTCTTGGGCTCAAGCGATTCTCTTGCCTCAGCATCCCAAGTAGCAGGGAGCCTGCCACAACGCCCAACTATTTTTAGAGATGGGGTCTCACTCCAGCTCAGACTGGTTTTGAACCTGTGAGCTCAGGCCATCTACTCGCCTTGGCCTCCCAAGTGCTAGGATTACAGGCATGCGCCACCACGCCAGACCTAGGGAAATGAGATCTTTTCTGCTTCTCAGTCCTCTCTGTCCTCAGTTCCTACTCACTGGCCTTTTAAGGAGAGAGCACCGCCCAGACAGTCCATGAGTGTTGCCTTTTTTTCTCTACGTACCGTAGCATCAGTCTCTATCCATCCTCTTTCTAGTTGCAAGCCAGGCACACACTGCTTGTATGAACACACTTCTTTGCTTTAAGCTGGCTGCCCTCATTTAGAGTGGCTTGATCTTCCCGTGGTGGGCCATGCTTTCTCAGGCTTCTGCTTTTGTGCTTCCTGTACTTGGTGGATTTCTGCTGGGCTTTCAAGGCTCAGTTACCTCCCTCTTTCCTGGTACTTCATGTGTTGTAACCACTCTACCCCGTATTTACTTCTTCCACATTAATGCATGTATTTGTTTACCGCGGTCTCATTCTACTAGGCCATCAGTAAGCTCCTTGACAACAGAGGCACATCTTGACTGTCTGTGTTTCCTACAGTTTAGTGCAGTGCTGTGGCCTTGTGGGTAAATTTAACTCGGTCAGTGCTTATCAATGAATCAATGAACGAATGAATGAGTAAATTGACCTGTCCCCTGTCCATTCTCTCACCCCATTTTTAAGGACACATCATTACAATTCTGAATTTTGTTTTTCTTCCATTTAATCTGAGTAGATAGTGGGTGTTTCTGAAGTTTTTCTCAGGTACATATAAATTTATGCAACAAAAAGTTTCAAATCCAACATGTAGCACCTGTCTTTAAACAGAAACATGATTTCACGCCAGGGCTAAGGTATTAAAGTCTTTAAAACACACTATTATTTCATCTCATGGATTCTAAATTTTTATTTGAGATCATGGGTAGTTTGTACCATCTAGATTTATTATTTCTAGGTCATAGATAAAGTGGTAAAGAGCGAACTAATTTGCTTGAATTTATGTTCATATTTTGCTTGGGAAATGAAATTTTATGACATGTTAGAAATACTTTAAAATATTTTTATAAAGAAATGATTTTCTGTACCTCACATTCAGTATTTAATGTCCAGAGTCTGAACAATGGTAGGTTATGGCCTACTTCCTGTTTGTGACATAGCAAGCCAAGATCCCAGACCTATTTGAGAGGACAGAGAGGGCAGGCCCAGAGCCTGCTTCGTAGGTGTGTGTCCTGTGTTGGGGCATAAGGCTCAGCATGCAGAAGGACCCCACTTAGCTTAATGCTCTGCTCTTGCTGACTTGAAATTCTTACCAATTTTGTCTTTGAACTTATGTTTTACAAGTGAAATTTGATGAGACAGAGCAGATACATGAAAGAAAAAGGCTTTCTATTTCAATACCTTTAATAGCACTTTTTCCCCTGCCTTTTGAATAAGTGGCCTCACATTTACATTTTTCTCTGGGCCCGGAAAAGCGTATAGGCAAGTTTCACTGCGAGTCAGTGGCATTGAGGCAGGATGACCATATCATTATTGTCTAAACTGGGACACTTCTGAGAGTGAAAGGGAGTGCCTTTAATAATTATATGGGGAAAATGAAACTGAGATTATTTCTGGCAAACCAGATGGCATGGCTGTTCCACATTGTTGGGCACATTAAGATGAAGAATTCGGGTGACATATCATCATGCACAAAAGATTTTAAACTTTGTTACCTGTCCAGGCTTTGACCCCAGGGCTTTAGAATTTGAGTCCTGTCGCTAACTGACTGTGTATCTTCAGACACATTCCTGAACTTTTCAAACCCCTTTTCCTTTACCTGTACAATGGGAAAAAATAGCATTTCTCCAGGTTCCTGTGTTGGTCTTGATCCAATGTCTGCCTTATAGGAGGGCTCTATAGTAGTTACTGATATTTCCGCCGATGCTGCAGTCATTATAGAGAGCCATGCATATAAGTTAGCTATAAATTCTTTTCCGTTATATTCTCCCGTACCCTTTTTCCATGTTTTGAGTATATTCTTTGCTTCTTCCTTTTGTATTTCCCATCTGTTGGTGTAGTCCTTTTCTTGGTATTCTTATAAATGCTCAGTTAGTTGTCTTTAAGACGTGTAGTTAGTATGGTGTCATGCAGATTACACTAAATGGTTGCATATTCACCATCTGATTTGGCTTAACACATGTATATTTCTTTGCTCTTTCAAATGGTGCTCCCTGAAGCTCCAGAGGCCCCGGCATAGG